GTTGCCTTGAGTATTTATTTCAGTTAGTGAACAACAGAATCAAGTGCTTAACAGGAAATGAAAAACGACATTCAAATAATCATAACCAGCCAAGCCCCAGTGGCTCATGCCTGTAATCCTAGCTACTCAGGAGGCTGAGATCTGAAGATCTTGGTTCAAAGCAAGCCCAGACAGGAAAGTCCATGAGACTCTTATTTCCAATTAACCATTAGAAAACTAGAAGTGGTGCTGTGGCTCAAGTGGTAGAGTGCTCGCCTTGAGCTGAAAAGTATAGGGACAGTGCCCTGGCCCAGAGTTCAAGCCCCACAACACACACACACACACCACACACAAACACACACACCACACACACACCACACACACACACACCACACACACACACACACACACACACACACACGATGACCCTTTACATACCCGTGATTACCACCACCTCTTCAAGAAGAAACATTCAACCTAAAATTCTAGAGAAGACTCATTTGACTAACATAGTTAAGTTTTTCTTTTCAATAGTATGTTTATTTACCATACTCTACTGACATTTCTGAATAGTAACTTCATGTGAGTAAGGACTACTGATTAGTAATTACATTAAGAATTTACTGATTAGTAACTCTGAGACAGTAAGGCCTTGTTCATCTGAATAAAACCAGCGTTTGGGGGTTAGAGGGATGGCCCAGGTGGTGGTGTCAGTCAATGAGAAAAAGCAGCATATCAAGTTCAAATCTGTCTCAGACCAGAAAAAAGAAAAAAGAAAAAAACCTAGTGCTTTATTAAGTGCAGAAATACCAACACTTAACTCTCCCAACAATTTTCTGTGCACCCATATATAGCAATATTGTTCTTTATGCATAGTAAAGTTACTCAACACCAGAGCTGGAAACTTTCATTGTAAGCAATGCTAGGACAAAATTCTAGTGTAAAACATTTTTAGGGGCTGGGAAGGTGGCTCAGTGGTAGAGTGCTTGCCTTGCATGCATGAGACCCTGAGTTCGATTGCCCACCACCACATAAATAGAAAAGCCTGGAAGTGGTGCTGTGGCTCAAGTGATAGAGTGCTAGCCTTGACCAAAAAGCTCAGGGACAGTGCTCAGGCCCTGAGTTCAAGCCCCAGGATTGACAAAATAAAATATTTTTAAGCAAAAACTAAAATATTTCTAAGCAAAGAAAAAAATCTTTTTTTTGTCAGCCAGGGACTTGAACTCTGGTCCTCAGTGCTGTCCCTCAGCTCTTCAGCTCAAGGGAAGCACTCTTCCGCTTGAGCCACAGCGCCACTTCTGGCTTTTTCTGCTTATGTGGTGCTGAGGAATCAAACCCAGGGCTTTATGCATGCAAGGCAAGCGCTCTACTACTGAGCCACCTTCCCAGCCCCTCCCCGCCCCCCCCCACACACACTTTTTTCGTGCCCATCTTGGGGCTTGCAGTCAAGTCCTGGTGCTCTCTCTGAACTTTTTGCTCAAGGCTAGCACTCTATCAATTGAACAACAATTTTACTTCTGGCTCTTTGGCGGTTTATTGAAGAGTCTCACAAACTTTCCTGCCCTGGCTGGCTTTGAACTGCCATCCTCAGATCTCAGCTTCCTGGATAGCTAGGATTAGGTGTGAGCCACTGACTCCTGGCTTTATTTATTAACTGTGAAAAAATTTATTTTGGGCTGGGAATTTGGCTTAGTGGTAGAGTGCTTGCCTTGATGCATAAAGCCCAGGATTCTATTCCTCAGTACCACATAAACAGAAAAAGCCAGAAGTAGTGCTGTGGCTAAAGTGACAGTACTACTCTTGAGCAAAAGAATCTCAGGGACTGCCCAGGCCCTGAGTTCCAGCCCCAGGACTGGGAAAAAAAAAAGTCACATTATTTTGACACTTAATTGACCAGGTTGTACCCATTGCTTGGGAAATGCAATGAAGATAATTCTCATTGGGAGGACTCAAAGGACAAACCAGCCGCTAGTAAGGTTTTCCATTGTTTTTAAGAGGCAAGCTTTCCTTCTGAAGAAGATAGTATTCAAGCAGTCTGTTTGTTTTGGTGTCTTGAACTCAGGGCCTGGGCACTGTCAATGAGCATTTTTGCTCATGGCTAGTGCTTTACCACTTGAGCCACAGCTCCAGTTCCAGCTTTTTGGTGGTTAACTGGAAGCAAGTTTCATAGACTTTTCTGCCTAGGCTGGATTTGAACCACCATCCTCAGATCTCAGCCTCCTTAGTGCTAGGATTCCTGCTTATTTTTATTTAGCAAGTTTTTTAAAACCAATATTTTCAGGGCTGAGGGTGTGGCTCAAGGGATGGAACACTTGCCTTGTAAATTTAAAAGGCTTTAGATTCAAATCCTCAAAGAGAGAAACAAAAGCATCCTTTCTCATAACCTTATAACTGAAGCATTCATACATCTTGCCAGTATTTTCCCCTAGGAAGGCCAGTTCTTGTGCAAATAGCTATCCTTTTACTTTTTTTTTCTTTGCCAGTCCTAGGGCTTGAACTCAGGGCCTAAGCACTATCCCTGAGCTTCTTTTGTTCAAGGCTAGCACTATACCATTTGAGCAATAGCTCTAATTTCTGGCTTTTCTGTTTATGTTTACTGAGGAATCAAACCCAGGGCTTCATGGTTGCTAAGCACTACCACTAAGCCACATTCCCAGTCTTCTTTTACTTTCTAAACTTGCTATGATCAAATTATTGCAGTAGGACAGACATTTCACAAGTAATAAGATAAATTCCCAGGCAGGTGCAAGTGGCTCATCCCTGTAACCCTAGCTACTCAGGAGGCTGAGATATGGAGATCACAGTTTGCAGCCAGCCGGGGTATAAAGTCTGTGAGATTCTGATCTCCAATTAAATCACAGAAAAAGCTGGAAATGGTGCAGTGACTCAAGAGGTAAGAGTGCTAGCCTTGAGCAAAAGGAGCTCAGGGATAGCACCCAGGCCTAGAATTCTAGCCTCAGAACTGGCAAAAATAAATAAATAAAAGATAAATTCCAACAAATATCTGAGATTTTTCTTTTTCCTCTCATAGAGAATCAGGAAGAGAGTAAAACAAAAACAACAAGGAAAACATTTACCCCATTTTTCTTTTTGGTAGCACCAAATTTGTACTCTGGGCCTCCCACTTGGTAGATAGGTGCTTTACTACTCAAGCCACACCTCCCAAACTAAGCATTCGTTCTCAGAGTAAAACTCTTTATTATGTAGTTTCCATGGGAAAAAAATATTTTACTACCTTATGTAGTCTTTAAAAGCAAATTATTAGTGTAATCACTTAAGGTGTTCATTTCGATCTACTGTGTAATGAATGAGCATTTTTCCTAAAATCTGTTTGGAGTTCCTGAATAGCTAATATTGAAATCACATTCAATGTGCAGTAACACAGACACACATATACATACACACACACATTTCAAGTTTATTTCAGTATAGCAGTGTTATATACCGAAATACCAATGGTTTTTAAGTTGCTCTTAAAAATACAGTCTCTTGGCTGGGAGCGGGTGGCTCATGCCTGTAATCTTAGCTACTCAGGAGGCTGAGGTCTGAGGATCCAGATTCCAAGCCAGTCCTAGCAGGAAAGTCCATGTGATTCTTATCTCCAATTAACCACCAGAAAACCGGAAGAGGTGCTGTAGCTCAACTGGCAGGTCTCTAGCCCTAAGCTAAAGAGCTGAGGGATTACACTGAGGCCCAGAGTTCAAGCCCCAGGACCCACAAAAAATAAATAAAAAAAAAATACAGTCTCTTGGGCCTGGGAACGTGGATTAATTGGTAGAATGCTTGCCTGGGATGCATGAAGCCCTGCAGTAATTAGAAAAAGCCAAGAGTGGTGCACTGGCTCAAGTGATTTGAGTGCTAGCTTTGAGCAAAAGAAGCTCAGCGACAGTGCCCAGGCTGAGTTCAAGCCTCAGAACTGGCAAAAAAAATAAAATAAAAAATAAAAAGATACAGTCTCTTCACAAGCATTGGTGGCTCATTCCTGTAATCCTAGTTACTAAGGAGGCTGAGATCTGAGGATCACTGCTCAAAGCCAGCCAGCCAGCCAGCCTGGGCAGGAAGGTCCATGAGACTCTTAACATCGAATTAACCACCGAAATGCTGTTGGACCTGTGACTCAAGTGGTAAAGCACTACTGTTGAGCAAAAAAGCTCTAGGGCAGTGCTAAGGCCCTGAGTTCAAGCCCCTGGAGTGGCACAAAATAGAAATAAATAAGTAAATGAAAGTGTTATTTAAGCTGATTGTTGTTTCCATTGTTGAGTTTTAATATAAGAAGTCTTAAGTGGAACAGTTTACTTGAGAGCTTTTCAACAAACGATATATTTCAACAATAAACTTAGGTCTATTTTCTGACTCAATACTAACTTGAGAATATCAAGGTCAAGGAAACAGATTTAGAAATACACATTTATATTAGTAGACTTATGATTCCTTATGTTATTAAGAAATTTTTCATGAAATGGCCATAATTCTAAGCAAAATTTTATATTCTAGTCTTTGGTACAGTCTGGAGTTAAATTCATCAATAGAGGCAGACCTCATTAACTTTTGGGAACAATGCAAAAATAAAAGACCCTCTGTTTATACATAAAAATACAATTTATTCATATCCTTACAAATATATGTACATGAAACCACTGTAATGATAACTTCACACTTCCCCAAATGATCCCAGGTGAACCTGGAAAGTGTGTCACATTGATACCTGTGATTAACAAATTCACTACAATTCTTAAGTGTCATTATCAAGACTTAATATGACAATGCATTAAGGATCAAGCCCACTTAAATATCTTTCCCAATGCTGTGTTTGGATTGACAAGTCATTCTTTAAGCACTAGCTTCCATGCTCTGCATTTATCGGCAAAGCACACTGTTTGGAAGGTTGTGTTCCTTTGGGAAAAAAATGTGTAAGTTCAAAGATGTAAAGACGACTACAATTAGAGGAAACGAGTTTGTAATCTACAGAGGACCAAAACTAAGAGGGGGGGAGGGGAAAGGTACCTGAGAGAATAAAAAAAATGCGAGGCTATAAATCGCTGCTGCCATCAACTACAACACTGCGGCAGATCGGCAGATCGGGGGCTGTCTTCCAGGAGGAGGCGGGCGGCCTCCCACCCGCCAGGCGGGTAACGCGGGAAGGAGAGCTTCGCCCCCGGAGGGCCTCTCCCGGGGCCGGTCAGACCCGGGGGCCCTGCATGGGGGGGGGGGGGGGGTGATGACAGGTCGGCTGCTACTCCACGAGGCTGCCGCCGTGCTGGCGGTTCAAACGCGGAGGTCGGAGCCAGGGTCCCGGGTG